ATTTTTTTTGTGCATCCCTACCACCGTATATCCCATTCAAGTCAACAAAAACTAAGAATATTGTGTATGAATAGCGGAACATACTTCATATGACAAATTGGAGCTGGAGAATCTAAAATTCGAATTAAATTATATATATTTAAATCACACATAATAATTCCAGCAACATTTACTTGTAATTTGGAAAGATTCAATTCGGGAATACACGGTTCTGCAACAATGCTTAATTCTTTATGGATTGACATTGAAGAAGAAATAAATCAGATTTTGATTTTGGACATAGACGAATTTGGGTATCTTTTGTCCATTATGAATTACGAATTTGGTATTGATTTTAGAGTGTAATTAATTGATAGGCTTGATGTTAGGATGATTTGAAAAAAATGTCATTTACGCTATTGTTTGGAATCTAAATTTGGTATGTAGTATTTCTTAAATCATTTGCTAATTCTGATAGTATTTTTTGGATTATTAACGTAATATAGTATTATCTTAATTTTTATTTCGTAATGATGCAAAAACGAAACTTCCCGTTAATTTTCTGCTAAGAATTGAGCGACTTCATAACAAATTAAGGCGTCTTTGGCAAAATTTCTATTGTAAGTTGTGAATTTTAGGAAATGAATGGATAATAAGTTGACCATCTAATTTCAATTATAAGTTTTGCCAAACATATACTTAAGAAATTCCTCGTAAGAAAGGTGCATGGTTTGTCCTTTTTTATAGGGTTCACATATCAATACATTATGAAATACATTATTTACTGTATAAATGACTAAGAATAGACCCCAAAAAAAAAAAGGGAAAAAATTGCCTTTTTTTCCCTCATTTCACTCAAGAAGGTTGCGCATCTCATCGTGACAATTCAAGATGAATAGTGGTGTTTAGCAAATAAACCGAGCAGAGAAATTCTCATGTGAAACATTCGTCAATCTGCATGCAAGTCAACTAGCGAGCCATTTCTAATTTTATGAGTGTGTGTTTTATAGAGTTTTCTTGAGCGTAGGAAGAATTGAGGTTCACACCCTATGCATATATTGATATCCCAATAATAACTAACCAAAACGAGATGAATTGATTTTTAAAACTTTTTCGAAAAATTAATCTAAGTTCAAGTAAGTAAAAACTAAATAAATTAATTCAAATAATAAGCACAAATATAAGAGAGAGATGAGACAAACGATATAATTGTGGACGTTCGATCCAAAACAATGATCTACGTCCTCCGTTACCAAGATCTTCGGCATGATCAAGACATTTTTCACTATATTGATTGACTTATGGTGCAATCTAACCATTTACAACGCTTTCGATAATTTACAAACAATGAGCACCGATCCTTATACAATGTTGAGTTTTACGGGACCTCAATATGACTCACACGGTGACTTACAACAACGAGCACCAATCTTTGTACAATATTGATCTTTAAGGGATTTCAACACGATTCACACTTTATCAGAGTAATTTTATAATGGAATACCTCTCTTAATAAATAATACAAATAAGTTAAGTATTAAGAGAGGCTAACACTTCAATAAATAGTAAAAAATGATAGCTCAAGTGTTACATAATTTTTTTTTTTTTATGACTTATGATAATAAAAAATTAGATTCAATCACTCAAAATGTTTCAATGAGAAGATGAAGAAATAAATACAACGTAGGTTCAAAAATCTTCTCAATAAATATCTATTTTAATAGATGATAGTAATAAATTGAGTATTAAGAGAGAAATGAGAAATTTTGATAAATATGATGATTTTACAAGTTTAGTTTAATCAATCAAAGTTTAAATATGAAGAAGTGGAAATATTTATGCAAAATAAGTGTAAAGATCTTCTTCAAAAACATATCTATTTTTTAAAATTGATATAAGTAAATAAAGCACAAAAGAGAGATGAAAAACTTTTATGAGAGAAATGATTCAAAAAATTTGATTCGACAATCAAAGTTTTTGCTATGAAAAAATAAATGTAAACATGTAAGCTCAAAGAGTTTTGATCAAGTAATTCTCAATTTTATGCTTTTCAAGAATTCGATTTGAAAGCAAGAAGTAGAGGTATTTATAGAGTTCAAACCGTCAAAAAATCTAGGAGTTCGGATGACTGAGTCCGGTCGATCACCTCTTGTCCGGATGACCAACATAGCTGTTTGTACAAAAAATCAGAGGTTAGAA